ACCACCAGAGCTCCTTCACTAATGCCTAGGATATTGATTTTCACGCATTCCATTTTTTTGACCATTTCCAATTTTTCTAGATTCATACTTTGTACATTCCATGTTCCAAGTATTAATGGATGTTTGCAGCTCTTTCTTCCCATTTTGAGTAGTGCCACATCAGCAAATAGAGGTTCTGAGAGCTTTACCCCATGCACATTTTTAAGGTTGACTCTACTTTGAGGAGGCAACTCTTCCCCAGTTGTATTTTGAGTGCCTTCCAATCTGAAGAACTCATCTTCTGGCACTGTATTGGACAACGTTTCAGGACTATACATAAGTTTTCCAGTAACAGACAGTGTTTCACTGCTATTCGTAAGTTTTCACAGTCCAATTCTTTGAGAAGTGGATGGCCCCTTCCTCTTCTGAGTCTTAGTCTGGAAGGTCCGCTGAAACCTGTCTTCCATGGGTAACTCTTCTGGTATTTGAAATACTGGTGGCATAGCCTCCAGCCTCATAGCAACATGCAAGCCACTACAGTATGACAAACTGACGGGCAAGTGGTGATACTCTAATTGGTATTTATAAATCTACAAATGAGAATAATCTCCCCACACTGTATCAGACAGGATTCTAGTGGGATCCATAGGGTTTACACTGGCTTCAGTTTCAGATTCAGAAGCAGATCACCAGACCTTCCTTCCCAGTCTGTCTTAGGGAGCTCCACTGCAATGTGTCCACTGGGGGAAACCCTGCTGGCACTGCCAATACCAGTGGCATAGCTTCCAGCTCCACAGCAACACACAGGCTCCCACAGCACAGCACACTGACAGCTGGTGCTCAGCGCCTCGCTCACAGCAGACTCAACAACACAGCAGCTTTTGATGCCCTGAACAGAACACGGACAAGTGAATGTGATGAGGGTCTATGGTGACTCTAACTGGTGACTGGAACCATAACCAAAGCCAAGGATTCTGGAGGGTTTTGCATAATTTCTGTGTGAATGATGGTGAGATGACACATCTCTCCAATGCCAGAACTTCTGAAATGCTGAGTCTACAGCCCCAAGCCTGACAAAGAACAAACAAAACAGGCTCTTTCTGCACAACACCCCAAGAGCCTCCCTGCCCTCCACCAGGGGCCATGGGCCCTTATACTTAGGGATTTACACTGACTTCTGGAGTTAGAAAAGTCAACTGTGAACTCTCCAGTGACCTCTGTCCAGCTTTCAGAAACTTCCTAGAACACAATCTAACTTTCTAGGCACTTGTTACATAATCCCTTCTTCAGAAAAGCCAGCCCTTAGTGATTGGATTTTGTTCCTGACAGGTGAGCATTTGCAAACCCTTCCTCCAAGAAGCTCAGACCATTTGGAAGCTTTTTCTGGGTCCCGCATCCATGGGAAGCAGCACTCCTTCTCTGCGTTTTTGCTCTGTAACCAACATCACTGAAAGCTGACAACTGTGGAAACGAGACCAGACTGTCCTGACCCCTAGCTGGTCTCCCCTCGAGTTCTCGGCTGGATGGAATGGTGAGCTGAGCCAGAACTAAGCCTCACAAAGACCTGAGGGATTCTTTTATTCCAGGAACCCTTTAAAGCCACAACCCACTGATTCATCAATCAGGGTTAACCGTTTCACGGCCAAGGGAGCAAACTCCTGCTGTAAGTGGACGGGAGCCCAGTTGAACAACAGAGGTGGCACACACAATTGGATCCACTCAACCTTCAATCACCTCACTTTTAACACTCTGCTATGATGCTCCCCAAGTTCAGACCATGAGGAGGGACACTGCACTTCCCACAATGCTTCCAGGGGCTGTGGGCAATGGGAGAGGACACCACGTCTGCGGTAGGACCTGGCTGAGAAGTGGGAGCTGGTGGTAATTGGTTTCAGTGGGCACTGAGTCATCAGCTTGTGGTAAAGTAAGTAGGACACCTAGTCAGACTTTTTAGAACTTACTTATTGGGAAAAAAAAAAAAAAAAGGTGCTAGATCCTAGATAGAGTGGAAGAACAGTGTGGAGCCAAACTTCTTAAAATCATAAGAAAAAAACATGTTTACTGGTCTGATAGAGTCTGGTGTGACCCCTAAGACTAGGACCCTAGTTACTCCTCAGGTCTGGAACTGAACTCACTCTCACGGCTTCCAGCCAAACAACAGATAAGCATATGGGGTGAACATTTACATCAGGTACATACACTCCTTAGAGTGATCAATCGTGGGGCAACAGAAAGGCAGTGTCTACATAGGAGACAGCTTGGGGGGCAGGAGTTCACTGGAGGGAAGGACATAAGGAAGAGGTAACTACAGGGAGGAAGTGGGAAGAGAGCTGTTACACTGTGGCGAATTACAGTCAATGTCATGAGACAAAATATATATTTACTGCTGTATGGAAAATGAACTTGCTCTGTACACTTTCACCCAAATCACAATAAAAATATAAAAACAAGAAAGGTGCTATCGAGTCACTTCTGAGTCACGACCCATGTGCATCAGAGTAGGACTGTGCTCCACGGGGTTGTCAAGGGCTGATTTTCAGAGCAGACTGATAGGCCTTTTTCCAAGGTGCCTCTGGTGGACTTGAACCTCCAGCCTTCTGGTCAGCAGTCGAGAGTGTTAACTATCAACACCATCCAGGGACGCCTAATAAAGGTAACGTACACTTGTTAACTATAACTTGAATAGAATAAGCATTTCAGGGTTAGGATACTTAAGGGTGTGAATAAAAATGAAAATCACAGCAAAGATGTCACAGAGGAAAACCGGAAGAGAGAGAAGACAAGGGGAGAAGGGAAGCCCATGTGAGTGTGGGACCTGGGCGGAACTGCCAGGGAGGGTGGCCGGGCACTTACTTCCCCATATCGGGATGTCCCTGCTCTCCGCCTTCATCACGATGGATGACATGGTCATGGTCACAGGGATGGCGTCGAAGTATGAGGAGTGTGGTGCCAGGGTCAGGATGGCTGCCTCGGTTGGCAGGGCCTGCCGCCCCTTCACGGCCACCCAGTGGAAGCCGCCGGCAAACCACATAGTCCGCATGATGGCCTTGAGCAAGAAGTCCACGACCCTGCAAGAGAAGGTGCTGCCGTGAGACCCAAACCAAGAAGGGTGCAGGCGAGGCCCCAACGCCTGGACTCACACCACCCAGAGTGTCACCACTGGGGGAGATGAATGCTAGTCTAAAGACGCCGGCATGAGACTCACACCACCCAGAGTGTCACCACTGG